GTCCGTTCCTTGTTCTCGCTCAAATCGAACAGCTACCCGGTAAACCGGACACTTACCGGCTTCAGTCTATCGGCTTCAGTTACCGGCTTCAGTTACCGCGACGAATTAATCCGATTTGGGCTGGCTAGCCTTCCAGACTATCCCAGTAAAAACATAAAATAAAAGACTTGCGACGGGGCTTCAAATTTTTCGGAATTCTACCGTGAAATCATAGATGAGAAAAAGTCGTTATTCCATAGCTGGAAAGAGGCAAATGCTTTCTTAAAGAGCTGTCTTGCTTACAGTTAATATCTAGCAGATAGACGGTAACCGAGGAGCATATTGCCGGTATCACTGTCGGAATGTCCACGATTGACGACGCGCTTACGTTCAAACTTCGTTCAGTAGAGACTCACTATAGAAGTATTACATAAGAACACCGAGTGAAATAATCACTTCTCCGGTCCGAAAAATAATTAACAATTAGGTTTTCTTTAAAACCCCTCGCATGTGTGATTGGTCAATGTCCATTCTGAGATGGGTACGATTGGTTAAAATCAGTTCATATGAGACTTTGTATGCACACGGATTGAGAGGAATTGACTCGAAAATGGATTCTATTGCTTTTAGTAATATACCACTAGATTAAACTCTGTTTGCGCTTTTTCTAGTATATTTTAATGTTTAATTCTGAATTTTTAATGTCAAAGCGAAAAATCCTCCACCCCTCCATAAAGCGATAGCTCAAATGGTCAGGTACTAGCAAAATTGGCGGGAAATTTGCTCATCAAAAATTTGTGCTGACGCTTCGAAAGTAGAGCTTTCAAACTAGCTCAAGCATGCTTCCATTAGAGCTGTACTATTAAAGTTATCACCAATTTAAAGAACTGCTAATTCTTATTCGGACCTGACAATAAAGTTACTTAATAAAATAAGTTTTTTTTTGTGGAAGAAGGTCCTCGCTCACACGAAAAACTAGGCATAAGTGTAGCCATAAATATAGGCTCGGATTTATCTTACCTGTCCCAATGAAATTGATTTCTGGTTATAAAATCCGGAGCAATCCGAATGAATGCTTTGGGGGCTCAAAAACCGACTGACGCTTCTATTCATTTAATTAGATCAGTTCGAGTGTAGATGTTAGGCTGTCGGTCGTACGGACTTTGAGATGGGGCAACATCCCGTTTTAGAAATTTTCTTAATTTAGTTAGATCAAAATGTGCATGGTACCAGTAATGCCGAGTCGATCTCTAAATAAAGCGTTTAGGATAGCTCAGGTTGAAACAGTCGATGTTCCGAATAAAGCAACAGGGCTCATTCTTCAATCGTCCGTCACACGCCAAAGGAAATTTCGTATTGACTGACTTAAATTAGTTATGCGTGCTATTCACTTCATGCCACTGGTTCTTGTTAGCTGCAGCACAATTGCATCTGCTGAGCAGGCTACCAAAATAAATGACGTTAAGGCCGGTTATCATCCCGGAAGTGAAGACCGTCGCTACCTAAAGGAAGCATCAAGTCGCACAATACGGATGAGGAGCGAGCTATCACCAGGGAGCCCGATAAATATATTTATTGCCAATTACTGTTAACTGTTTCTCTCAAAAATTTATTTACGAAAAAAGCTTCAGCAAAATATGTATTAACGAAGTTGGAGTACCACGATCCAAAATTTATTTTCCCGGACAACAACAACCAGCAGTTTGTGGTTGGTTTTAAGCCCCTCGCCTGCTCCGAAACGCATATTCTATCTCATTCTACCAATTCCCAGGAACACCTCAACAGAACCTACTCTCTTCTATCACCATGCCCAACTCTCTTATCGCCCCGCCTTCCATTAAGTGCAAGTTTTCACCGAAACAAGTGGCGTCCTTCTACTTCAAGCCCATGCTGGATGAGCAAGGAGACGCAACGGGTCTGCAGACCTGCAAGGCGTGCGGAAAGACGAGAAAGCATGTACTCAAAACTGGGTACACCAATTTGATGTCTTATGTGCGGACTAATCACCCTCGCTTCGAGGTGGAGATGGAGGCAGCCAGTTCCGCTGCCACCGGAACTCTCATCCCGTGGGTTCGTCAGAAGGCGTCAAACCGGTACGCGTGGATCGACTGGATCATCAAGGGCAACCTTCCGCTCGCATTCGTCGAAATGGAGACAACCAGAAGGTAATTCACATGTCGATCTAGACGGAATATTACATTTTTTGTTTTTTATTAGCTCTAATTTTTATGTTAGGTACACTAACTTGGCGAACGTGTGTGAGGAGACCATCACTCACGACATGAAACACGTCACCAAGGCCGCGGAGAAAAACATCGGGGAAGAGCTGCCGGAATGCTTCGGAGTTATTCTCGGCGACTGCACGTTCGGCAGCGAGCACTACATGGCAGTGTACGGCTGCTACAAGCAAAATGGTGTGCGCCGCTGTCCCCTTCTCTCCATGGCACCAGTGATCAATGGTCCGGACGACTCGCTTAACGCTGAGACCCATATGGCTGCGCTTGCCGCATTTCTACCCTTTTTCGGTAAGAGCCTCGCTAATGTGAAATTTTTAGTTGGTGATAACTGTGCAGTCAACAAGCGCCTTTGCCAGAACTTATTGAAGATCTCGCTGGTAGGCTGGTGGCCAGCCCATCGGGCTAAATTTGGCCGTTTCGCAATTTTCCTGGGCTCCCTAAGCAGAGCAGAGAACCTGAAACCAGTTACAGCTAACTCATGAAACACCTGCGCACGATCAAACTAGCTACAAAGCTACGGTACGTATTTCGTGTTATTTTTGATATTTTATTTAATGACAATAATTGACAATACCTATCATCTTTTGTGTATGGTCCACACAGACTGAAGACCTCTCTAAAGCCCAAGCTGCGCCAAGAAACACGATGGTGGTCTGCATACTCGATGCTCGCGCGCTATTTTGATCTGCGTGAGCTCCTCAGCGCTGACGACGAAAACATTGCTGACGTATTGCCCACCCCAGCAGCACACCGCAAGCTGAGAGCGCTCAATGACCAGCTATCGGACGTGGAGTCCGTATCGAAGAAGCTTCAGTGCGATGACCTTAGCTTGCTGGATGCTCGCGACCTACTCGATGGTTTGCTAGATATCCAGCCGTCCTTTTCCAGCTACCTGGGTAAGTCATTTGCTCACTTTTATTTATTTACTTACTATTCATTCTCTTTATGATGAAGAACCAAACGCTGGTATTGTAAACTTGCCTGACTTTGAGTCTGGAGTGGTGAAAGTACTGTCAGGTCAGGTCAAGCGGCTGTCCCGTGGTGAGCGCGCGGCACTTCAGCCTCTGAAGAAGCCGTCTAAGCCTTCTGCCCCAGCTCCGGAATCGACGAAGATGGGCTTTGCCGACAGGATTCAAAAGAGGCGCAAGACGCAAGGCACACCAAGCGAGTACGAGCTGCTGGACGTCATCCCACCGACGTCCAGCATTGTCGAGCGGCTGTTCAGCTCTGCTCGCATGGTGCTACGGTATGAATGCAACAGGCTATCTCCGTTTGAGCTGGAGATTATACTTTTTCTAAGGGTCAACGATGCGTAGTGGGACGTGACTACCGTGGATGCTTGCATTTAGGCGGCTTCAACCAGGCTACGTAGTTTATTTCACTAATAATCTACGTTTGCAATGTCACCACTCCAATTATTTTTTTGCTGAGCTCTTAGGTTGCCGCGCGTTATGTATTTCTCCATATCTTTTGAAATTGATATAAATTATATTTTCGGGTTCCCTGGCTATCACCCCCCCCCGTGGACTGAATCGATATCGGCACTTTTGCTGACACCACGACAAGCCCCGCGTCAATGCACCTCCTATACGGATGAAACATGGTACAAAATCTAATACTTAGAAGTAGGCTAATAGTATGGCCTCAGGTGGCATTAGAAATGTCTTTAAAATTCGTTTCCTAACCATTGTTTATGAAAAGCTAGCACTGTTATGATGGTCAATATTTTGTTTGTCTTCAGTTGCCAAGGCTAAAATTTGGAATTATATAGATTATAATTGCGAGGCCTAAAAAATAAACATTGGAAAAACAATTACTTAGTAGAACACACGTACAACAATGCACTGAATCAAATTAGAGAAGACATATCAATGTAATATGTGCTTGACATTGCTTAGCAGTAACGCTATCGTGAATTTCTCATGTAATTTACCTCATCGTGTTTGAATATTTATTTGTTAGCCTTTTAGAAAGTTTTACTTATTAATAAAACATAAGGGAAAAAAAATCGCTACGGAGATAAATAAAAACTAATACTATTTTAATAAAAGTCATACGAGATTTGTATTATAAAAAAGAAACATTTTTTTTATCTCCGTCAAACTACAGTATTAAAACAGTGAGTGTGATACACAATATGACGAGCTGCAACAACTGTGTACTTCATAAAAAATGACAGTGACTTATGTGACAAAGCTTGTCAAGGGTGCAGTCTTCACCTGAAGTCTTTTCACACAAAGGCGAATTAAGCATTATACTTAATAACCCGTTGCCAGATCCATCACATAGCAAGTGTCCACAAATGACGGAGCATTCTAAATATATCGCTTGGCTGACGAGGACGCCTGTCATATTTTATGAGGACACGCGCTCAACGTCGACCCACACTTGCAATACGCGACACAGCGTTCCAGACACTCGTGCCGTGTGATTCCATTTCGTATTAGCATCATCTTCTCGAAACGAAAGACAGCGCATGCTAGGTAGATGCTTCCGCTGCTGGATCGTTCAGATGGCCCTGGAAATACGTCCAAATACAATTGCTATGCCCAATCGACCGCGTATCAGCCACGCACACGTCTTTTTGAGAAATTCGCAATTGCACCATGCGTGGGAAGCTCATTATAAATTTGTCCTTGCTGCTAAAGAACGGGACTTCACACTAAGTCGCTCTTCAAAAGCAACTATTAATAGCAATTACTGGCGTGAGTGCCGCCGATATTGCAAATAATCGTTCAATTGTTTCAGTATTTGCTACTATCTTTATGCTGCCGCTTCGATTCTTTATTTCTGCATACGCTTAAACTTTTTAATGAAGCTTTTCTTCCCAAGAAGGTTGAACTCTCCGTACAAGTTGAAAATTCTCATAAACTCGTCATTTGGCCTATTTGCCAACTCTACAACCGCTGGGGTTCTGAAAATCTCTTTCACTGTTATCTGTTTCCAGTGTTTGAACATCTTGACCAAACAGAGGATGTCGTCCATTTCGTCTGCCAGCTTGCTGGCTACCGTCTTAACTCCATCGTTCACCTTATCGAGATTCCCTCCCGCTCTTTCTTCTTTTTTTTCGCTGACGATGCCATTCCGAGACTCAGTTTTTAAGCTCCTCGGGAATGTGTCGGCCTCGGCCAGGGCAGCGACACCAATGCGTAAAGGCTGGAAGAGGTCTACACAACTTGAAAGCAGAGTGGTCGCCACGACCAGGTAGTAGTACAGCTTCATGGCTCCACCAACTCGCGGCCCAGAGAGTGAATTTCGAAGTTATTACGGGCCGTGATACGGAGTAATCTACTCAGCGTATTCCGTCCAAATTTGAACGTTCCACGTTCAACTTCAAATCGTAGGAACACATGTATAGTCTATACCGGTACATGTTTTCCTACTACATGTAGGAAATTACTAGTATTTTGATAAATAAAACGAAGAAGGCAGGCAATCAGGCGAAAAAGCGTACCGTACCGGTATCAGCGGAAACGGTAGCTCTAAAATAATTCATACCTTAAACTTGATTATATAGCGCTGTCACGACGGTGGTGACATTCATCTAGTCGATACGAGCACCGCAACAGCCTGTACATGTATTGGACCAAAACCAAGTACATGTACTGTACCAGGTTTCGGGACCGAAACTTTCGGTGTAGGTAGCCCATCACCCTGCCACTTCTGCGAAAGATGATGGCGATTAAACTTGTTTTTTTTAAAGTGCAACTGTCGTATACCTCCTCTTCCTTCAAGGGTCGGGTAGTCCCGCGGGCTGTTCAGGGAGTACGGTCTTGTTTCAGTGGCTGCAGGAACGGGTAGATAGGGAGCACTAGAAGAGGTGAAAATAAAAGTTTGTTGATTTGGCTTGGCTTCCTCTTTGAGTAGAAGGAGGGGAAATATAAGGACTGAGAGCTAACCCGGAAGAGAGACCCTAACGCCTTCCTCGACCTTTACATACCACTACACTACCATATTA